TCTGGAAGTCTCTCCCACCCCAAGTCGTCTGTGCATCAAGCATCGAATCTTTCAAACTGAGACTCAGTGAAGCATTAGCACACCTTACATTCCACTGCTGCACGCAGTGGAAGAAGCCCATATCACGTGACATTTTACACAAGGAATTGCATGTATCACTGTCTTTTAACCACAAGAAGAACCTATGGGACAAGAAAAGCATGAGCTTGTAAGCTATTCCCATAATAAATTTTTGAATTTGGCAATTAGTCTGTCAGTCGAAGACACAATTGGTTTGGATACAAGCTTCCTATTGTCCAGTTGTATGATAAATACAAAGACACAGATCCTCGTTCTAACTGAACCCACGAATAGACGCCGCTTTGGAGAAGCGTACACTTTACCAGCTGAACTACGAAGCCACAAATATGATCCTGGGATTGTTTCTTCTCTCTATTGAGAGACTTTCCCGATTGCTTCCCATCTGATTGACGGAACTATTTTCAGTGTAAATATCCAATGCACGGGCTTCTTAGTCTACGATGATATATGAACAATACTGCATAGCTTAGTTGACATGCTATGAGAGAGGAGGAGGGTTGCATAAAGCGAGCCAGATTGCATCTCACCTCGTCCGCGTAGCCGCGGAATTCATGTTCGTATTGTTGCATCGCTTTCGAACCGATCAAGCCCACACCTAAATCTGTAAGTCCGGAACCGGTGTCCTCGGATGAGGACTGATCGTCACACAGGCTTGGCACCCTGGTCTGTACAAGGCGTCTGGTTTCCGAGATCATACTGGCCAGGGTGCCCACGGACGGATGCGCGGCACGATACTGCGTGAATTCCTGTACAGGAGAGAGAAATCGAGCAGACGGATAGAAAAAGCGGTGCAAACCAGGACGAAGCACAGCTGGTAGCAGGATAGTGAGTGCATGCAGGAGCGCAGAATGTTGTGGTACATAAAAAGCAACGACAGAAAATATGATTCGGATCACAGGGAGAGAGAAGCAGTCCAACTACACGTGAGAAGTGTTGTCAAGCCAAGGGTTTGATTTATGGGGAGAGGGGAAAAAGCCTGACCCACAGAAGACAAAATGTAAGTAGAGTTGATGATCGAATTTGAATGCGTGAGCTTAAGATCCATTGTCAAATGAAAAATTTAGACAATGGCACTATGGTAATGCTAAGGTTAGGTAATCGTGGTCGTCCATTGGAACAAGTGGTCGCAGCGGAAGGACAAAGGTCAAGGGGTATAAAAACCTTATCCAGGAGATTCGGTCGCGTTCGGTTCGGGACGATTGTGATCAACGGTTAGATACACTGAGTGATATGGTCAGGTGTCGTAAACCGCTGCGGTCGTGCATTTTCTCAATTTACGTTCAAACTTAGATTAGAGATTAGAATGGATTCCCCTTAAACCGGTTATCATGCCCGGAGCAGAAGTATTTATCACATTCGAATCGGGATAGATTCTACCGTTGAAATAAATGAACGCCTGACTTCAAACTGTCCATTTGTGAGAATAAACCGGATTCTGCATAATAAGTAGGTTATAACTGTGTCCTTCGAAGGTTCACAAATTCAGTCAGATGCGTGTACTGGTAAATGATACAAAGTAATGCGATACGGACCGCGCCAAAATAAGCTGCATCTTCAATTCCTGTTGTGCAAACAATCCGCTCTTCATGATAGTACCTGAGCCTAGAAATACTAACAGCAGACAGATACCCAGGACTTCTGCCAGGCTGATGAGTATGAGGGTATGTAGGTTATCGAAAAGATTTAGAAAACCTTGAACTCAGACGAAACCAACGGAATAGCTCCGGAACGCCTCAAGTGTCAGTTGTATGAGATATCCTGGAATATCTTGGTCAAGTGACTGGATGCTAACGTGAAACAAAAACAAACGATGCCATAGACAGCAAACTTCACGTGATGTCAAGGAAAGCCTAATCTTCGGCTGAGCAATCTCGTAGTTTGCATTTGAAATGGAACGGGATCAGCTGCCACTCTGAGAACGTACCGGCGTTTTCTCCAGGGTCCCGGCTACATGATCATCGGTGTAAGTAACAGAGACTAGGCAAACGGATTTGTGCAATCTCTCTTGCGCGGTACCCTCGTAACCCCGATTCCGGACAAATGACCATAGACTGTGATCAGCCCCATAGATGATAACGTACGCTTCTCCCGGTTTCCAATCCACTTTTGGCTGGCACTACTAATAAAGAGTTTTGCACTGTTTGTAACTGTATTCTAATTGGGATCGTTGGGGTACGCATCGAGGAACCAGGTTCATTGATAGCCTTGGCGAAACACAATACGTACCCAACACAAACTGCTTCTTTGGAATAAGCCTGTCAGTCCTTAGATTTAAAATGAATTCAGTCCTGAAACTTTGCCTAAATGGTACATAATTGGGAAATAGATACAGTCCGATGTGATGCAAGTCCTCCGGACGAAGAGCAAATGTTCCGTTAGAGGAATAAACAGCTCCTGTTAGGATGGCGGTTAATTCAAAGGCGATGATTATGCATCAATTTCAGTCTTAACAACCATTAGCCATGTGTGCCAGTTTTGGCTGCTGTCTTTGGGCTGCCCATTTGGATAAAAGAGAAGGATGAAAATTGCAATTTTGAAAGCAAATTCAAGCGGAAGACAGGGAATTCTTATGGACTGATGTTAAGTCAATATGACTGTGCCTTGATGTGGCGTGATGGCTTGCCTCCATGACCCTACGAGCCACACAGGATGGCTCCTCACAGCCGCAGATCCAATCATGTCTGAAAGGTCAATGGGTAGAGGCCAGAAGAAGATCAGTCTCACAAAGCCAGCTGCTGAGGCACCTCCTGGCTTCCTTCTTCTATCCACACTCGCTCCGGGAGAGGTCACTCCAGGAAATAAACAAAGAGAGGGGCAGTTTACCCGTAAAAAACCCCGCTAAGACGTAGGAGCGGGGTACCTGGGGCTTCCTCTCGACGGTGGGAGAACTCTTTGCACTTCACTGGACATCTGGGCAGCCCCAGCCAATAAGGTGCTGTCCGGTCCACGTTCCGCTTGTCTCATTGGGTACATGAGGCTAAGGGGCGATCCCGAAAAGCGGACCGACAATCAACGCACCAACGAACAACACAGGTGATCGAAATTCAAAGGCCTTGCGTGACAGGTCTTTAGAAGCTCCCACACGGGTGCTCGGTTCACGTTCTCGCGTTGGATTTAGGCCCCACTGCCTTGTGGGTCAGACTTTTGAGTCGAAGGCTCCGGTTAGAGTTCCCAAAGAAAACACTTTCGTCGGTGTGGGCTACCGCGAAGTATATCGTGCCCTAAAGTCTCAGGTACCCATTTGGAAAGCCATCTTTCTCAACTATCCACTTCCTCTTCTCAATCCCAAACCTTAGATCATGCAAAAAGATCAACTTATTTCAAGTTATCTAACATAGAACGACAAAATAAACAATAATAAGTCAGGAAACCACGGTTGACGGAGGGTAACATGAAATAAATGGGAGGCAGTATTACAGTTCGGACCTGCGAACTAGGAGATAATGGGTGGACGGCCGATACCGTTTGATCATTACCGCATCAGCACCGAAAAGCGTACCATTCAGTAGGAGAGGTTCAACGTCAACCACTCGAAATGATCCCGAAGATTTAAAGCTTGTGAAAACAACATTCCCGAATTATATGAGCACATTCATATGCTGTTTCAGATCGGGGCAATGCTTATTCACAATAACGACTTGAGTTCAGTTCAGTTCTTAGAACCATGAACCATGCACTTTTGTGTACCAACCTTGGTTGACCACTTGGACAAAAGAGCAGAATGATGATTAGAATGTTGAGAGTAAATTCAAGCGGAAGATAGCGAATTTATATAGACTGATGTTACGAGGATAATTAGTAGATGCATGACCACCACTGTTTACGACAATCAGCCATATGGCTCAGTCTCTCTAACCATCGGTGACCATGATCTCGGGCTCTCCAGCCAGGGAGCCTAACGGGACTTAGTGACCCAGTGTCCTGGTTGGGATTTTCATACCCTCAGGTCAGGTCCTCGTTTGACCGCACTTGACGTTTTTCCACCCGCTACCTGCCTCGGCAAAAATCGCTCGCCGTG